TCGCCACGAACTGTAAAGTTACAGTAATGCGAATCGCGCGAACAATTTGGCGATTTTAGTTTCTCGACAGGTGTATCGCATCATTTACAGCGTCACATATAATTATAATGCTTTGGATTGATAAAAATAATGGCAAAATTAACACATCTATACATTAGATTAGTACAAGAGATTTCTTGTGTTTGTCAAATAAAATGAAAAAAGAAATTATCCAATTTTGAAAGGCTAACAGTTTTTACGAATAAAATGCATCGATTGCTCCCCCTACTTTTTTCTTAATATCCAAGTTAAAGTTTGGAAAATTTCCCAAATTAAATTTCCCGTTTCGTGGGAGAATTTAATAGAAAAATAACAAGTTTTTCGCACGAATCTAATGAAGCGTCGAAAGGCCTAATGAAGGAAACGATTAAGATGCATTAGCTTGACGCATAAATGACTCGTGATGTTTGTACTATCTCTCTGAGAAATAATTTGAACACCTATCTTATTCTCTCCACGGCTTTATCTGAATCGTATTTAATAGTACGCCTACTCGTCGCATCGAGATCTCGTGTCCCAGATCGAACGGAGGCATCTACTTATTTATCCGGACTGATACCGCAACGAGACGCAAGAGGCGAGACAGATACATAACATTGCTCTCCACGGTTTGTTTCTGAAAACGAGCAATTATATAAGAATACCCGATCTGAAAAATAATGAATCACACTGCTCGACGTGACGGATTTAAACGGTCTCGGCGCGATTAGCGCGTCTGACCGCTTTCGAGGGAGACTGAAAAAGATAAAAAAAGAGATCAAAAAATATCGTATCACTTGGTGAAAAAAAAGAAAGAAAGAAAGAAAGAAGAGCTCGAAGAATGACCTCAATAGTCTTCTACAGAGGTGCCAACCTTGACACATATTGACCTGGTTCAAAACGTAAAAATAATCTCATAGCATATGGCATCCGGATGCCTACGATTAATGTATTCCGACGGGCCCGAGTCGGAGACGCTCGTGTGAGAATCACCTACTCGATCTGTCGCGGCGCATTCGCCGATATCCCAAAAAGAAGCATCGTCGCCGAGGTTTATCGCACGAATTTCGTGTCGTGGTAGCCGGTTACACGCACGGTATACGCGGGGTATGCGCGCAGCTAACGACGCGATCGGAACCGTAGGATAGACCCACTCTTCAGGATCCTGAAGCGAAGCGAGTTGCAAAGTGTGCCATGTAAGTGGAACATCGCTGCCTGGTACCGACACGACGACGAAGTATACCAAAGTAGTATAACATGGTCCTCCTCCTTCGTCGTTCCTCTTTGCCCTTCTCCCCCTCTTTCTCCTCCTTCTCCTCCTCCTCCTTCTCTTCCTCATCGTCGTCGTCTTCGTCGTCATCGTCGTCGTCGTCGTCGTCGTCGTCGTCGTCGTCGTTGTCGTCGTCGTCGTCATCGTCGTCGTCGTTATCGTCGTCGTCGTCGTCGTCTTCCTCCACCGCCATTAACTCCTCTACAACCGACCGACTCCGGCACTCCTTCGCGTACACGGTGAAAGACTTTCTTTAAGGAGGTTCCACAGTAAGAACTGCACCGTCTGCTACCTACCTCACGCGCTGTACACACTCTCCACCGACGAGCGAGAAAGAGAGAGAGAGAGAGAGAGAGAAAGAAAGAAAGAAAGAGAGGAAAAATTGTCCATTGTCTCCTTTGACGGCCATAATTGAAGTCGATCCTGCACGTCGTATCCGGTTGCGTCCTCCCGATACCTGCCGCTGAAAGTAGACGTGTTCGACGACACACGTACTGACTCGGCCACGCGTATGTTCCTCCTCGTCCGAAAAGTCGCGGGTACATCGTATCGCGGATGGCGAGATGACGGCTCGCGCGTGCGCGCGCGCGCGCACAAGGATTCGAGAAAAGTATTACGGGCATAACGGACCCCGCGGAGTTTCGTGCGGTCGAAGAAAGGATGCGACGGAAATCTTTTGTACCGGTTAATCCTATTAGCGTACTAAAGGGGAGGGAAGGGGTCACCATGGGAGGACGTTGCGACCGACTCAAGTGAAACGTCTCATTAGCTCATTATGACAATATAACGAGAAATATACGGAGAGATCCGCAATATGTACAGGTACGTAGAGACGGGTTCGTGTCTAACTAGGAAACACGTAGGAATGGGCCCCACCGACCCTGGAATAGCCTCTAGATAAGATCTCATAGCAGCTAACAATAAGAGACGTGTTAAACATCAGAATCGACTCGTTCGTTTTCGTAAATTTTTGTTTTATGTAACGTTCACTTGTCTCAAGACAAGTGTTCAGTTTTCACATTTCTCTACTTATCCTTTTTAAAGGGACCGTGTTTTTTTTTTTTGTTTGATTCGTCGCAGGTAGTATCCCTAATTGTTCGAAGGAATTTGGTCCCTCAACTTCTGGACGTTCGGAAAAGCTCACATAATAAATCTTATTTGAGGCCACGGTGTGTCTAAAATCCATTCAAATTGGTGAAACACACCACCCGTATGTCTCCTCGTAAGTTCCGCGATCAACGTAGAGTCGCTCGTACGTACATTTCGTACGCGTCTCGAGTATCTGGGGTACTAAACTAACAGATGGTCGCTGGCGTACGAGGAAATTATTCGTTGCGATTTTATAACGCGCTCCTCGCGAGTAAAGTACGCAATCTCATCGCGACTAATAGAGGACATTAATTGAATACGCTCGATATAACGCACGTAATGGCATTCGGCCTAAGCGCGACGTTGTTTTCATTAGATCCGCCAATCTAGATAAATATAAAATTTTCTCTCTTCTTGCTCTCCCCTTCCCCTCTCTTCTCTTCCTTTTTTCTTTAGAAGAACATCGACGAGCAACAATTTGATATTCTCACGCTGCAAAATGAAACAATCCGTCGTGAACACGCACTCACGGTATCCGCGGAGACGAAGATAAAGAAGAAGAAGAGAGAAGACGCGATATGAGAATCGTGAGTAAGAAGCCCTGCCTGGGCGAGCGGGTCCCAAAAATTTAGGTCACTAGTTCGACTGGGCCGTCATGAGAACCGCGGTGTGTGGATGTCTTGCCTCCGTGATGGTTTAGCCTCTAACCATTCGAGTCAGCGGCATCGATTCTCTCATTTTACTCTTATCCCACATCTCTGTTATTCCTCCTGCAGCTCCAATCCCAATTTCGATAAAGATCACTAAATAGAATTTGATATGTCGTGAATTTGTATTTTTTTAATTTTATTCTTATTTCCTCGTTCATCATTTATCTATTATTATTATATATTTATGTTTTATTATTATTATTATTATTTACTTATTTATTAATTATTCGTTGTCTTTCTTTAACGCAAGAATCGTACATCCTTCGAATCTAGTTTGATCTTCGGCGACTTACCTCTTTCGGTTCTACTACAACCATCTTTCTCACGCGTATTAATTATTCTCCTCATATTTTCTTCATTACTTGTATATTTTATTTTTCTTACAAAATATTCCTTCAACTACCTATCTTGTGGTTCCTTTATAGCGTCATGTTTGCCTTTTCTATCTTATTTTAATCGTCGGCATTCTTGGCACTGATATCCTTGTGACTTATATATACGTTCGTTGTTAGATTAATCAGCGGTACAGTTAGAGATATAGGGCGGGGAAGGGGAGAGGTAGCCGCGCTTGCATTTACGATTCGCGTGTGCTATCGCGCGAGCTTCTCGCGTTTCATTGTCAGGCGAAAATAAAAGATCCACCTCTTTCTCTGTCTCCTCCTCCTTCTCCTCCTTCTCCTCCTCCTCCTTCTCCTCCTTCTCTTCTTCTTCTCCTTCTGCGTCGCTATATCTGAATCCACACATCTCCTTGTGCCACAGCGAAGAGACAACATCGCACGTCGGACCGCATATAACCCCCGAGACCATATAACCCCGTTATATCATTATATTCAACAATAACCCGTGCGCGGTCCATGTACAAACATCAGAATATACTGCCACGCGAACTGTCCCAGATCCTTCTTTTAACGCTGTCCTTTGTTAGAGACCGTAATTTGGCTCGTTCGTTCGGTGTGCTGAAACACTCCCCTGTCTAAAGTCGGTACCTGACAGCCGACTGTCAAAAACAGACATCCTAAACTCTAATCAGAACTCGACCAGCGCTTAATTCCACAATGATTCATTGAGCATTACCGTCGACACCTTATGTTTAACCTCTTAGCTACGGCGAGACTTTCCGCGGAGCTGTAGCTGTACGACAAAGTTCGACTGTGCGTAAACAATTGCAGCACTGCGATTTGTGTCTGGTAATGCTTTTTACTACGCAAGTATATTAGAATACAGTTTTAGATGAATAAATTATAATTTATTAGAAATAAGAGTGAGCCACTATAGTGGCGTACCGTTCAGAAAGATGATATACGCGAAAGCCACTATAGTGGCGTACAGTAGCTAAGAAGTTAAACGCGCACAACGATAAGCCGCATCGCGAAAAATTAAATGCAGAACGAAAATTTCGCGATATTGGTAGTAAAAATACATTTAAACGACAATTCTGCGCTATTATTTAATCTGCTTTAACAACGCGTCACGATTATCCAAGCTGCACGTTGAAGTCACACACAACTTCTCTCTACTTTAAATGAGATTCATAGAGTTTCGTTATATCTGAAATTTAATGATATTGTTTATTGCAACATTATTTTTGTAAAAACAAAGACTATAAGAACTGATGTACTTTAAATATTCTCAAGAAATATTTTGGCTTTTACAACTTTATCTGGATAAAGTTCAAATTCAGCGAGAATTTTGCGAAGTCGTTGGTGAAAAAACATCTGAACTGCAATTCCGTGCTCTTATTCGGTTTATTTATAGCCAAAACACATTGACAATGTAAAGTTTAGAAGTTTTACATGACCGTTGTAATATTCGCGGACGACATTACTCACGATTAATTCGACAAGTTCAAGAAGAATTCATACATAGGATGATTTGGATAAGAAGGATACATAATAAAAGAACACATTGTGATGTAACGCGGTAACAATCATTGTATTGAACATGATTTTATATATAATGCATATATTCCGTCTTTATACAAATTAATTATTATATTTACCGAACAGTACGACTCAACGGACGCTACAAGATGAGCGATTATCGATCAATGAGAGAAATATACAACACGTATCGTATTCCCTAAATTTTCTGGTATGAGATTTCACTCGCAAAGCAGAATGACAGCCGAGTTACTCGAATTCGAGTCATCTTTCGTTCGTATAAAGCGAAAGATCCACTTCAAATCGTTGTATGAATATTTTCACTAAAAACTGAAGAGTGAATGATGCACCATTAGAGAAACATATTCACTCCGGTTGATTGAAATATCCATTCGTATGGAACCAAAATCCATTCTGATTTTGAGCGGAACATTCATTTTTGCGATTACAAGTGGCAGTATTTTCACTATCGCCTCGTGAGTGAAAATGTCACCACTTTTTATTCCAGAAAATTTAGAGAGTAAGTTCTACAATCAACATCAAGAGCCGTGAGATTCCTGCGCACTCGAATAATCATACAAAATATTTCGTCAATTAAATATATACTTTCTGTCAATATATTTATTTGTAAAAATATACACGTAGTGTATATCACTGTATAGAAACGGAAAATCTTTAATAAATCTTTAATATAAACACTTATAATATAAGTACTTTTAAGATATAATAACTATTAACAAGGACAACGTAGATTAACTATTGACAAGGTAGTTATAAACTATACTTATAAGCGAAAGCTATTTTTATTTTAAATATGTACGATGTAAGTAATCTGAAAATTTAATAATATTACGATCAGTAGTAATTTAATATTCACGTAGTAATTTAATATTCACGATCAGAACGAGAGATGTTCGACAGATCAAGTGTACAATTATATAAAATTCACAACAGTCATATTTAATTAAGTGTGCTACGACAAACAACATAAAAGAGGAACGAAGGTTGTTCTCCTACGGCGAAGAGGCTACCAACATCGTAAAGGAGATATTAGAGTGTATCTAATTTGGAGAAAACAATTTAAACAACGCAAATTACAAAAAAACTACTTGTTCTGACGAAAGTCTGAGAGAGCTTCTTGATACCTTTATTCAAGGTGAAATATTTAATACTCAGCCGCAAATACAGGAAACACCACTTAGCACATCTAGTGCAAATGCGCGTGCTGAGGAACTTTTGAATACTTCCCTTGAAAATTTAAGTAAAAAAAGCGTATGTACCCATATTGTCATCTATAGAGATGAGGTAAATACGTCTGATATCTCTCAATACGCAAGCAGCAGCAATCTTGCGCCGTCCAATCTCTCAGATAACAAGCTGGCTCGAACTTGCGAGAAGACATTCAGGCAAAAAGCATAGTGGTGTTTCCTGTATTTGCGGCTGAGTATTAAATATTTCACCTTGAATAAAGGTATCAAGAAGCTCTCTCAGACTTTCGTCAGAACAAGTAGTTTTTTTGTAATTTGCGTTGTTTAAATTGTTTTCTCCAAATTAGATACACTCTAATATCTCCTTTACGATGTTGGTAGCCTCTTCGCCGTAAGAGAGCAACCTTCGTTCCTCTACGTTTATGTTGTTTGTCGTAGCACACTTAATTAAATATGACTGTTGTGTATTTTATATAATTGTACACTTGATCTGTCGAACATCTCTCGTTCTGATCGTGAATTACCGATAAGAATAGCTTTCGCCTAATATTACATTTAAATAAATTATATACACACTTATTATATATACATGGTGTCCCAGATCACCTTTACAATCTCTCATGAGGACGTAGAGCGGATTGAGATGAACATAAAAGTAACATACCGTTTTGCAATATTCTCAATAACCGAGAAATTAATTGTAAAAGATTAAGGAAAAACGCACGCTAAATGGTTGAGGGAAGAGCGCTCGTAACTACATCGAGGCTAATATAGCGCGTCTCATCAGTAACGCTATAGTTGCAGATATGACAGTATCAAATGAAGGTAGTAATGGAAATGATACTAATAGTGCAAACGATGGAACGACTGGAAATGGCAGCAATAGCGGTAGCTCCAGCTTAGTTCAGGACCAAAATACTTTATTGCAAGCGAGGTTAAAAGTAGGTAACTCCATCGTCAACAAGTGCTTATCAACCTGTCAGTCCGCCTGGGAGAGTCTCCACATCGAGTAGTCCTACTTTTAACCTCGCTTGCAATAAAGTATCCTGGTCCTGAACTAAGCTGGAGCTACAGCTATTGCTGCCATTTCCAGTAGTTCCATCGTTTGCACTATTAGTATCATTTCCATTACTACCTTCATTTGATACTGTCATATCTGCAACTATAGCGTTACTGATGCGCTATATCAGCCTCGATGGAGCTGCGACCGCTCCTCCCTCAACCATTTAGCGTGCGTTTTTCCTTAATCTTTTACAATTAATTTCTCGGTTATTGAGAATATTACATATTAATAAATTATATAAATTAACTATAATACCCTTACAACTAACATAAATTTACAATCTTTATAATTATAATTACTACTAACAAAGTAGGTACATCAACAAATTTAGGTACTTCAAATCAGGGGAGGAAGCTTAATCTCTGCTGCCCCTTTTATGGATTTGTTGATGTTTAATTAAATGTGCCTTTTGCCTGAATGTCTTCTCGCAAGTTGTACATTTAAACGGCTTCTCACCTGTATGAGTTCGTAGATGCACTTTAATATTACTTTTGTTCAAGAAACCTCTACTACAAATTGAACACCGATGCACTGGCTTCTCTTTGCCGCCTGCCATGCTGGCGTCGTTACTATAAGATATTGCGGCGGCAGCTTTTTTCGCGGGGTTTTGTGCTCCTTGGCTTCCTCGTGACCTTTTCCGGGAATGTGATGGAGCATTGTACGAGGAATGTAAATTTTGGTCAGGACTACCTGATGTGGAGACTCTTCCCGGCGGACTGACAGGCGGATAAGTGCTTGTTGATGATGGAGCTTCCGCATTACCTGCTTGTAACCTCGCTTGCAATAAAGGCGAGTACGTTAACAAGTTGGGAATTGCGGAACTATGTTGTTGGGTCTGCACTGGCGAGCTTGTCGAATAAACGGTGTAGATATTGGTCTCTTGATGTTTATTCGTGGAGCAAGCAGTGTCAAACCAGTCAACAATGTCATTCCACGGCGACGTGTGCCTGGACGTAGTATCTTGATCTTGAACTAGACTGGAACTGCCGCCGTTGCTGCCGTTCCCAGTCGCCCCATCATTTGCACTATTGGTATCGTTACCACTACTTCCTCCACTTGATACTGTCGTATCTGCTGCTATAGCGTTACTAATAAGACGTGCTATATCAGCTTCGATATCCAGTTCAATCTGTTGTGTGGACTGTGGTAACTGTTGCTGGTGATGATTATGATGGTGGTGCTGGTGAGGATTGCAATGTTGTGTACTACTACTGTGTTGCTGTTGCTGTTGCTGCTGCTTTTGGCTGCCTTGTTGACACGGAGTGCTCGAAGATACTACAGGTGGCTCTTGATACTCCTGCGTGTCAGGAACAACACTGGCGTAGTACTCTGGATTGGTTGACTGTGTTGGTGAGCCAGACGGTATCACTGAGCGCTGCGCCGACGATGCTATCGCGTGGTAGTGAAGACCTGATATTCCGTTGATACTAAGATGACTAGTATAGCCAACGAAGGAAGGCAATGGTCTTCTATCCGCCGCTATCTGTGGCTGTGGGACATCTAGCGATTGTTCTATAAGCAGCGAGTCCCAGGTGTCTGATAGACTTTGAGTCGTCTGCTTAATGCCGGACTGGTCCAAATAGTCCGGTGTTCCACCGTTCCACGTCGGTAGCATAACGGTGACCCCTTCGGCATCTGTTGGTGAACTACCCACCATCATGCCTGGACCCTGGCTGCTATGAGGTGGTTCAACGCCCGTCGAGGTCATATGTGGTTGGGCCGACGGTGGGCCTGATTGCGACTCATACTTCATATCGGATGTGATGTCCGATGTCGGAGCGTGTTGGTGTTCGCCCGTCGCTGTGCTGTTATCAGCGATTATATATGGAGACGTGTTAGCCAGTTGTTCTGTGGCCGGTCCTACTTCCAATATGTCGTCCGTAAAATGGATCCCAATCGACTCCAAAACAGGAGATGAATGTTGTCTGTACGGCTGTTGATTTGGTCTTGAACGTACGGGTGTTTGCTTAAGTAAAAATTGCTCAGCAAAACCCTCGGTATTGTCCCCGCCGGCGTTGCCGTAATTACTGCCAACGGGGACAAACAAGTTTGGGTGACTGTGTGATGATGTCACACAGCCAACCGCAGTCGGCAGGGTTGCTACCGTCGATGATGACAACGACGGTGGTTGCACGGCCGTCGGAGATGTACCGCTCGACGACCGTCGCTCCCCCGCGGAGCACACCTTAAAAAACTCCGTCTCGACCGCCACGCCGCTAGTTTCAGTGGGCGACGCCCTGGTGTGCGGTGAGACGAACGTCGCGCACGCACCAAAGTTATTGGAGTTTTTTTTTTTTTGGTGCTGCGACAATTGCGCGTCGTTATTCTCAGTCACAAGAGCCAGCTCGTTGTTTGAAAAATGCGGCGTAGAATGACTGCTTCTCGCGTCCTGAATGATATCTTCAAACTTATCATCTAGCTTCTTTCTAGCTATATCATCAAGTATCTTATTTACTTCACTAGGAAGCTCTATCCTTTCTATGATTGAATTATATTCTTCTTCACTGAAATTTTTAGAAGTATTCAATAGTGCCTCAGCATGCGCATTTGCATTATCTGTGCTAAGTGCTGTTTCCTGCACTTGCGGCTGAGTATTAAAAACTTCACTTTGAATAGAAGAATCAAGCTCTTTCAGATTATTGTCAGAAGAGCTAGAAGGATTCTGTACGACGGTGCTCTTAGATTTACTTGCGCTGCTAGAAGTTTTGGACTCTGTCTTGGCGCGCTTTTTCGGCACATTTAGAACGTCTGTCGTTGTGTCTTTAAATCTTGTCCGTTTCTTCCGTGGTGCATTCGAAGTGGTGCTGCTGCATGTATCGGGCAAATTTGTCTCTATACACGATGTACAACCTCCAAGAGACGAAATAGTACTTAGACTATTATATTGTGTAGCTACTCCAGAGTTGACGGTTGGATTTTGAAGCGTATTGTTGGCAGGCGCATTTATATTGGTCACCACACGCTCTGCAGAATTTATCAGCGGTGAAACTTCGAAAGAAGATGCGCCGTACGTAGAAATCGTTGCTGGATGCGCATATGTCTGATTACAAGGTTGATTAACGTAAACGTTGTTAATTCTTGTATTCGAATTGGAGATATGACTCTGATATCTATTATCGAAACCCGCATTTATGCCGTCAACTATAGCCTCAATGCCACGTAGCGGCTCAACATAAGCAGGAGTAGATCCAGATGTAGCAAATGAATTTGACTGTTCACTCGGTTGAGTGAAATATGGAATATATTGTTGTTGGTATTGATTAGCAATATGCTGTGCTCCTGTCTGCGAGGTAAGGTTGTAATTGTGATGTAAGTGTTGGGTGGACGCATTTGCGTTGACAGAATGCACACCAGTATTTACGGTCTGGTTCTGTGGTCTGGCTCTTTGCGCCGCACTTTGGTCCCAATTTCTCTGTGCAACTAAAGTATTAGTTGGGGGTGCGCCATACGTAGGTGGAAAATACGACGCAGCATACGGCGGTGTATTATAATAAATCGGCGGCTGATTATGTGTATTGTTACCAAAAGAACACGGTGCACTATTGACCACTTGAGAAAATTGTTGCGGCCCAGTAAGAGATGCTGCAAGATAGCCAGGTACACTTGTACTAATTTGCGATCTTTGCAGTGAAACTTCTCCTTGATTTAAAGGTTTTTTTCGAGGTCGTCCACGTTTTTTTGGTTGTTTTGGAGTTGTTTGTTGTACTGTTTGTAGTTGTGGGTATGATGGTACTTGTGGTGGTACTCCTTGTAGTTGTGGATACGATGGTATTTGTGATGCTACTACTTGTTGTAGTTGTGGATGTGATGGTATTTGTGATGTTGCTACCTGTTGTAATAAATGTAATTCAGGATGAAATTGCTGTGCTTGAAATAATGGAGGCCTATATGTATTGGAACGTTGGTTTGTTATATGTGATTGAACCCTAAATTGGTCAAATGCAGCTTCTTGTGGATAACCTAAAACAAATAAATGACATCGATTAGAGGTGACAAATAACAAGTGTCTTTTTTAGGAGTAGAATGTGCAAAAAATACACAGAATAAACATAATATTGCCGTCGCAATGGTGCCAAAGCGCGGACAAAATCTTAATTTTTAAAAATATATCTAAAAGATGTTTTAATATATTAAGATATAACGTTAAATAGTCGAAGAATAAAAAATTGCAAATATATGAAATAGTAATATTTCATGTTTACAAATGTCATCAAATTCGATAATGACTTCTACGCGATACTGAACAAATGAATTCGAGAGATATTTATTAATTATATTAATAATTTTTAAAAACAATTTCTAAATATCTTTTTCTTTCAATGTTCATTTCTAAAAATTTTACGTCCGTTCTAATCTCCATTTGTAATTAATTATCAAAAATTACATGTAACAAAACCAGAGAAATGTATTTTTTTCTAAATTAATTAATTTGAATAATATAAAAGAATTTCTTTAAAATATTATTTTTAAAGTCCGCATTTTTTCCACAAAAAGAGGGTCTCACATTATAAATTTTAATAATTCGGAAACTCCATGTTTTATAGAAAAAAATTTCTCAAATAAAAATTTTAAAGTTTTAAAAGAAGCATAAGCATATTATTATGACATTGGAATATTTTTTTAAATAATTTTAAAGTCAATGTCAATTTTTTTTAATTCATTTTAAATCTTTTTTCACTCGGATTTTTTTATACAAGTATTTTCTCAAATTAACACATCAAGACAATAGAAAGGGATATAAAATGAAGGCCAATAGGAGCTAATGCACTGTTATTCTAATGCTATTTGTAATTATTAAAACATATCCAAATAATCAACTCAAAATACATAAATAATTACACAAAAAGTTTTTTATAAATAATAAATAACTAAAGCCAGGCACGTTTCGGTCACGTGTCGACCTTCTTCAGTAAACAATTCAAATTATCTAACCATTGTCTACTCGGCTCCCGACTGCCGACGGCGACAAGTTGTACAATAAATAATGAAAAACTATTTATGCTGTCTGCGAGCGGCACCCACCAATCTGTGGAGACGAGATTGGACACAACAAGAGTATTAACGCTGCCACTGTCCAACCAATTCGTGGATAAAAGATTGGTTAGACAATGATATCAGCTGAGTCGAAGTCCAATCTGTTATAAAAAAAAATCCACAGAATGGAGTAACGCAAGCGAAAGTAAAGTAAAATACAGAAGAAAAGATTTTTAATAATTTTAAAAAATATTTTAAATAATTACCGCAGAAAACAGTAAAGTAGTACATTATCCGCACGATATTTTGGAAAGATAAAGAAAGGTGTGAAACTTCTTCGCGAGTCGAAGAGACTTACAGCAAGCAGGTTAAATATCATATACAATGTACGGTAGATTACGTAAACCAAAAACAAACTGTACACCGTTATGAGGGCAAAAACTGTGTACAAACTGTGTAAGCAGTATACATGTTAAACATGTACAACATGTTTAATAACGTATGGTAATAATGTCCTATTAATTATGTATTCTTCTGTTCATTAATCACGTGAGGTTATTTTTAATAAAATAAATTTAATAAAATAAATTTCCGCAATCAAACATTTGTAATATTCTGATTTCTCGTGTAAAATCTTCACATTATTCCAATCAAAATCATGGCCGGTACTAATCCAATGTTCTTGCACAACGGTCAAATTACGCGGTGTTTTTCTTGGAATTTTTTGATGTTCTCTAACCCGAGACGCATTATTAATTATCATGATCTTAATTAATAATAATTATCCCATAAAATTGATTTTTGAAACTATTAATAGACGTAAGCGTTCTTCTCCGTAGATATAATAGCGACTTTGACACCTGCCCAACAAACGATCCTCAGGAAGAAAATGTTCCCTTACGCTTATGAGAAAAATATCTCTGGAAGACTAAAGGTTATTGTTAATCCCACTGAAATGACAATCGCCTACAAGTGCATTAACAAACTTTCGGGCGTTGTTAAAGCACATAAGGATAAACGTCGTTTATAAATTAAATTGCTCTAATTGCCCTGCTACTTATATTGAATAGACTGGTAGGAGGTTGTCGACTCGGATTATATAAAAAAATGCCGAGAAAAACACTGAAAAAATTGCTGAGTAATTTGACCGTTGTGCAAGAACCGTTGGATTAGTACCGACCGTGATTTTGATTAAAATAATGTAAGGATTTTACATGAGAAATTAGAATATTACAAGTTTAATTGTGGATATTTGTCTGATAAAAAATAACCTCACGCAATTAATGAGCAAAAGGATACAGAATTAATAGGAGATTATTACCATATATTATTAAATATGTTATAATATACTGCTTATATTGTATATAGCTTTGCCCTCATAACGTTCTACAGTTTATTTTTAATTTACGTGTAATTGTACTGTAACATTGTTTATGATATCTAACCTGTTTGCTCTGTAAGTTTCCACTCGGCTCACGCGAACGTTGAGAAATTTCACACCTTTCTTCATCTCTCCATTTTATATCCCTTTCTATTGTTTAACATTTATAGGAGCTGTTATTTAACAATCTTTAATCTATCAAGCTTCGTTCAATTTTTTATATAATAAATAAATTGTGAGATTTTGTCCGCAAGCGGACGCTTAGGCACCATTGTGTATCGTAAGAAATCAAAGTATGTGCTATAATATTCATATTGTCTCAAGAGTTTTCGCGCAAGAGTACAAACAATGATGAGATGCAATCTCATCAGGTGGTAATCCGAAGAAACTCTTAGGAGTGTAGCGGAGGGGGTTCTCTCTCCGCCGCATCTCCCTGCATTAAGACGGATCCACCTTCGTGCCATTAAAGAGAAAAAAGAAAGAAATAAACGAACAAGAGAAAAACTGTAAAATCCGTGAGGCAAACGAGGCATGTCGTACGGCTCTGCAGCACGCTCGTGGTCGATGTTCGTACGGTAGATAGGTAGGTAGGTTGTCCGACTGGTATGATCCGGCGAGCATGTATAGATATATGTGTTCGTTTATGTGTACATACACGTACTCGTTTACGGATGTATGATATACGAATATGCATGGATGTATGTGTATTATACGGGTACACGCTCCTACATACGTATAGACATACAATTTCATGCTGCTTTCTCCCATTCCTCAGTTAAATACTTCAACTTCTTATCCCAATGCATTTCTTTTTTTCCAACCCTTCAAAACAACTCTTTCCTTCATCGCAACGACCTTTGCATCGTATTATTCATTTTCAATTCTTTCCAAATTAAATTTCATTGCAACTCGCGCTAATTAGCTCACGACGGTCGCTTCTAGAAATTACTCAGAGGCAAAAAATTCGATTAAATAATTAAAAATGATTGAACAACTAAAAATGATTGAATGAATAATAAAGTAACAAGAAAATGATTAAATAAATATTTAACTAAAGTTGAAAATATAAAACGAAGGTGACTTTTACGCGTAAACCTTTTGCTAGGTTTCATTGATTCTCCGTTGCATCTAATTTACCGATCGTATCCGATTGCGTTTTACATTCATGGTTACGTTTTATCGAAGACCAACGCGATATCCTTCAATTACTTTGTTACACGATGCAATTGATTCTTATATCTGATATCCATTTGCATTGTCATATCTATACAATTTTACTAGAGACCCGCCCTCTTTCTCACTCTCTCTTTATATTTTATAGCAATCGTGCTGTTCCCCCTCATCCTTCGCACATATCCAGCGCCTTTCTTGCGCGAACGTTCACATCTTTCTTATTGTCACCATACTCGATGAAGCTATTATTATTAGTATACATATTCCGCGCGTAAATAAGCGAGCGAACGCGCGCGCGCGCGAGTATACACGCGCGCGTACGAGCGCGTGACGTCGAGTAGGCAGATCCTACTTCTCTCGAGAAGAAAGACTTGCTCCGGCTAACTAGGTTAGTGGCACGTTAGCCAGCCACGGCCGAGTACACTCGGCCGACCAAATTGCCGCGTTTAAAAATATATTTTTGTAGCGTGAACGCGCGCACGCCGGAGGGACCGCCGGCGGCGGTGTTGGTGGTGGAGGTCGAACGATACGTGAATCGGGATGGAGAACGGGGGGCGAGAAGGGAAGATTTTTCAGCTCGACGGGACTCATTTTCGCCGGCGATCTCGCGTATTACGTTCAACAAGCGTTCCCCTTCCTTGATCTGCTATAATGATGAATAATGACGATCTCCGTGATGGAGACTTTAATTCGATTCCGCAGCGACATGTGGAGATCCTGAGAAAGGATCTCGATGTAAGGACGCATGCGGAGTGTAAGTGGAGCAATAAATAATCGATCGATTTGGTTCTTCCGGGTCCGCAATGATGGCTATTGCGTGATGCACTTCCGAATCGGCAAGCTGGCGGGCCGATTCGTCGGCTATTCAGCGTAAAGAGGCATAACCTCTACTCGAAACGGCATAAGCGCTCTTCATCGTTCACATCCTGCCGCGAAGAGCCTGAATTGGGTCTTTCTTTTCTCCGTTCCGATTGACATATCCGCGTGGCCGCAGGAACACGTCATGAGAAACATGCAAATCGGCCGCGTCGTCTTCGTGCCTTGGTACCTGTCGCTCCCGTAAGCGCCCATCATCGTCGTCATCATCGTCCACCTCTTCCTCCTTTTCTTCCACCTCCTCTTCCTCCACCTCCTCCTCCTCTCGCGGAACTGCTCTTCGCGCCCTGCCAGACTGACTTCGTCACGCCGAGTCCGTCCTTGTCGTCGGTTAAACTCCGTCCTTGTCGAGTGGCGATCGACGGTAAACGCCGCGGAGCTGCTTTCCCTCCCACCAACGGGCGCCGGGCCCCCTGGGACTCAAGGGATGCGGAGGCGGCGGGGAGAAAAGCCCTGTCAAGCCGTGACGCGTTCGTCGTGTACCGTTATCCAATGGCGCGGACGCGAACGGCGCGATCGCGCGAGGGGCCCGCGCGCGACGATCGATCGGGCCCGCTTTTTTGACTCTACGACAATGTCGCGGTGAGCCACTTATCAATGGGATCACCGGGTATCCGTGCGGCGCGACGAATTCGGCCGTACCGATTTGCTCACAGTCATCCTGTGTTTACAACGTGCCCACATATTTATGGGCCCCAAAACATTTTTTTTTTCCTTTTCCGTCGCAGCTTTGAAAAACTCAGGGTTTGGTGGCGGAGCTTTAGTTTGCACCGCTCCAGACTCAAATATTTTCTCAAATCTTTCCTCACCGACATGCCGTTTTTCCGCCAGCCGCGGTCAATTGTCGCAAGGTTCGTTCGGTTTGAGAGAACAAGCATTCTCTCGACTTCTCGAAACGTTTTTAGGGAAGCCTCTTGGGAAATCTCTGGGATTGTACGCAAAAAAACAAACAACGAATCACATAGAACACTTCGACACTTTAGCACCTAATCGACCTCCTTCGGATCTCACTTAATGTTTCTAAACACTAGTACCTATACAAACACAAACTCATCATGTGTGCGCATATACACGTTCTCTTGAAATATAATGTATAAAATCTATTTTCTGCATATAATAAATAAGTTAATATTTCTATATACTTGTAATAAATAAGTTTAAGTGACAAGATTTCGTTTAAGTAACTCATTTAGCAATCTAAAGTATCCATTTAAAAAATTTAAATTTTACATCATGATATAAATTCAAAATATTTTTGAACATTGCAAAATCCACACTGCAAAAAATTTTGTGTTAAACTTAACACATTTTATATGTCCCAATTTGTGTATTCAAATTTTTGTATTATAATAATAATAACATAAAATAATAAAATATGTCACTAAGAATTCGTACCGTAAGATGGGGTTACTTTGTGACTATAGAGGTTACTTTGTGACACAGTGAATATTGTTCAATAGTGATAATTATCACTATTGACCAATATTCACTGTGTCACAAAGTAATCTCATCTTACGGTACGTTTACATGTAAATTATATTTTAACACGTGAAAATTATGAATATGATTAGAATTGTCAAAATAACACCACGACAATATGTTAAATTATAACACGCGAGTGTGTTAAAAATTTAATAAAAGAATTTTTACATGGATCAATTTTAACACAAATATAAAATGTTTTTTACCGTGTACATACTCGTATATATTGTGATGGAATATAATAAATATAAATCTATTTTCTATGAGTAATATAATAAACAAATTAATTGTTAACAAAATAATGAAATATTATAATAATTAAATAATTATGTAACATAACAATAATTATATAATATAATAATTAATTAATTTTCTACATTTATAAAATAAATAAATTTAGGGGAAATTTTTTCACGGTTATATATAGTAAAAATCATTTTGTGTTGAAATCAATCCATGTAGAAATTTTTAACATATCCGTGTATTAACCTAACACATTGTCATTGTGTTATTTTGATCATTCTGCATTGAGTTTATATATATTCATTGAATTTATATATATTCATCATTACTACATTTAAAAAATAGTCTTGCAGTTATAACGAAAATGATCTAGATACAAGAAATTAGCTAAAATGGATAAACAACTAGCAAACACTGTGATATCGTATATGTTTTGTCAATATAAATGTATGTTTTAATCAATATAAATGAGAAAGACAGAATTTATATTTGAACTATTTGTAAAATTTAGCACACAAGAAAGTTTCTCTGTGACGTCTATCTAAATTAAAACCAGTCACACTTCTCACAAAACTTTGACTATAGTAAACAAAAAAGATTAATCGCGAGAGGCAAATGAATGTATAAATTTCAGTCCCATCTAAATTTGCTTGCAGATATTGTCAGAATGCTGCTGCTGTAAATTTTATATGCCACAATTTTTACAGATGCATATCACAGTGATAAATTTTAACTTGTAACATTTAGAATTCTATTCCAGCAAAATATTATTTTGAGTGTGGATGTTAAGATAACACAATTGATATGTGTAACATGTGACTTTTGATTGCTTTTAATTTACTTTGTGTTAAATTGGAGTGGATAAATTAAGACATGTGATATGCGTTAATTTCCACAAATTTTTTGCAATGTACATTTAGGAAATTTAATATTTCGTTGAAATATTTTTCTAAAATAAAAAGAAGCTCAAGAAATGTTTCCCAGGAGTTTTCTTAGAACGCAGGAGGACGGACAACACGTGCACCCAGCAAAGAGATGGTTGCTCCGTCCATTCGTTCTCCTGTCGAGAGTCCATGAGCCAGTCGGACCGCCGCATCGTTGGCGAATATCCGTGCCGTGACTACACGCCGAAACCATACCGCATTCACGCTTCGGACCGCACGCGGTGGGGCGGCCGAAGTAGGCCGGAGCACCGTTACAGCCGGCTGCACGGCCGAAGCCTACGCAAATCGACTAGATTTTGCCCGAATGGCTTTCCTTTTCGTTGTGAAAAATGGCGCGTGCGAGTCGCGGTTTCCGCGGCGACCCACTTCTGCGCGAGCGACCATGCGTGCGATTTTCCTCGCGATTCCCGT